ATTACCTCGACTTACAAGAAGAATCTCTCACTTCGTTGCTCTCTCTTCTTCTCTCTCTGTTTTTCTCTCTCTACACCGAGATACACCGAAGAAAGTCTACACCGAAATACACCGAACAAGATAAACTTACAAGAGAAATAAAATCAATTTCTCTTCTGCCACAAGCCACCAAGAAGAAACCAAGGGACAATAATATTCTTCTTCTTTCTTTTTCCTTCTGTCGCAAGGAACTACCTCTTGCACTTTTCTTCCTTCTATCCCGAGGAAGCCTAAGGAAGAATACCAACCGTGACCTCTTTTAATCTGAAGGAGAACCATCTCTATTTATCGTGAAACTGGAGGCGGGAACAGTTAGGGGGCGGGGCGGGGGGGGGTGCTTGCGGACGGGAGTCGCGACTGCTCGCGATCGAGGGAGCGATGGCACTGATTCGCGAAACGGGAAAGGAGCGGGAGAAATCGCGACAGAGTGCGGGAGCGGGGAGAGCGGACCACGCTCCATCTCAACACTAATAATCACATACAACACACATATAAGACCATTTTTGTCTTATTGGACTGAGTTTTTCACTAAACAATTCAAAGGGTCTACCTTCTTGGGTGAGACTGCCCCTATTCCAATGGCCTAAAATTAGAACAACCAATACAAGGGTTGAATTGAGGCAGTACTTTAATGGCTCAAAGCTGGATTGTTCTGGGATCCAATGAAAAACTCTTTATTTCAAACAATCCAAATTGGGTGATGTTATACAGCTAAAATACTGGATAAAGCGCCTGTAGAAATTAGAAGGTGAAAGCTATGAACTTCCGAGATCAAGTTGGGGGTTGGCCATGACTGAATGACCTCCATTTTCTTTGGATCATTGTGAATAACACCATCAAAAAGGAAGCCAGGGAAGTGAACTTCAGTGAGGAGAATTCACACTTTCAAAGGCTGATATATAGCTTTTTATTCCAAAGAGTTGTGAATATCAGGTTAAGATGATGTAAATGATCACTTACAGTGGCACTATATACTAAAATATAATCAAAATAAATGGCACAGAACTTACCAAGGAAAATCATTTCATTAGCAGCATAAAGACATTCAGCGCATTGTAAAGCCCAATTGATAGAATTCATCATTTATATAATCTTTCTCGAGTTTTGAAGATTATCTCCCGGTCTGGTACAAATTTGATAATGACCACCATTGAGATAAAGTTTGAAAAAATTGAATCTCAAATAATTTGTCCAACAGATCCTCCACTTGAGGAATAAAAAAACAGAATTTTATCATAATTTTATTAATAGCTTGACTATCTACGCATGTGTGCCAAATGTCATATTTTTTTAGAACAATCAATGCAAGGATGCGTAGAGGCTCAGGTTATGCCAGATTAACTGCTTCTGCAACAAGTTATTTTCTTATAAGATCTGTAATTCTTTAAGACTCATCCATTGATGTGGATGATTGGGTAAGTTAGATCTAGGAACAAAGTCTATTTGATTTTCCATTGCTCGCATAGGTGGAAGCTTAACTTCACTTGTGTGCTATAAGCTGGAGGAGATGGCAGCAACCAAATCTTCTTTCATTTCCATTCAATAGCATAAATGTTGGTGCGGTTGTCATAATAAACTTCCATACCAAACTGTCAGGGCCTCCCAAAGATTATGTAACACACATTCATATCTATAATGTCACATACAATTTCACAACTAAATTTTTTGCCTATGGACAATGTTACATTGCACAGTTTGGCGTCTACACGCATCTTGATCCAGTTGATTTTATAAGGGTTGGGGGGTTTGATTTAAGGCCCTTTTCACGCTTTTAAGAATAATATCATTCTTGGTACACTTGCTGACGACAGTTAGTTCACAGGCATTTCCCCCAATCAATTGTCCATGTAGTTCGAGAAATGGCATGACCTTTTAGATTGTTTTAGAGCTAACAAAACCTTCTCTAGAACACAAGTGAGAAATTTGTCTTCATCACCGAGAGTATCTTCAAATTTCTTTCAAACGATAGGGAATCCATCAAGATCTTCAGGTTTAGTGACATCTAAACCTAATTGTAACTGACGATGGTTTGGACTTTAATTGGAATGATGTTAACATAAACATTTCCAGAGCCATGGCCTAATAAAAAGGTTATCAAGATTAAAATCCATCTTAGGTATCACCTTAATTGTATTGCCAATAACATTATTAGGAGTGGATTGGGATTGAAAGGGGGCCATTCTAATAGATTGAGTCAGACTCTTAGCTGGATCTGTACTTTGTTCCACTGCATGTATTTTGGAGGAAGTTCATTTCAAACTTTTGTTGAATTGAAGTTTGACCTTATAAGCATAGTTTACAACTTGCAACAAGACCACATAGCATTCATTTCCAGTTTATCCTATATAGGTTTCTTTAGTACCCCAATATAACGTGTTGCAATTTGTTGGTTAGATTCATCAAGGTTATTGCTTGCACTTAGCTGGTTAAACTCTTCTAAAACGGTGCTAATCGAAAGGTCTCCTTGAACACAACATTGATATTGAATATATAAAATTTTCTAATAATTTTAAGGGAGAAAGTGTCCTCATGGTAATTATCTCATTTTCTCCCAACTTTTGATAGCCCGACATTCCTCTCGTCTATGTGTTTGGGAGAGATGTTGCCACCAAGCTCCCACCCCGCATTAATTTTGTTGAGTTATATGTAATTAAAGGATTTTATTGGGTTTATTTGTTAAACATTGTAACACCTATTTTAACACATGTTGAATGAAGTAACAAGTTTTTACATCAAATAATTCTTTATGATATCAGAACCAAATCCTAGAGTAAACCATACATGTGACTTTATCGAGAGGGAGTTTCGATGTGAAACCGAAGAAGAGGGAAGGTGAAGAAGTTGGATCGAGAGCTTTGCGCATGACAAGGGAAGGTGAAGAAGTTGGATCGAGAGCTTTGCGCAAGCATGACAGGAGATTGACAAGGGCTTCTGCGATCTGCTGCAGGAGGAAGGAGTGGAGCAGCACTGTGCGAAACGGAGAGGATCACAAAGAATTTCGGTTGGAATAGGAAAGTTAGGAACGAGCGGCCTCGTACAAACGAGACATACGAAGGAGAAGGCAGATACAGGAGCGTCATGCAGGGACGAATTACAGTGCGACTAAGGTTAGTGCCAAAAGATTATGCGAAAGAAGAGTGGCGGCTGCATTGTGTAAGGAAGGTGTTTCAGGAGTTGATTTCGTGAACAGAGGAGGAGAAGCGTGACGGGAAAGGAAGGCGGGGACGGTTGTGTGTGGTTCGCGTGAACAAGAGAGGTAATAGTGAGGATTAGGACTTTCATAACTCCTTCGTTGTGAGAGGGTGTCGGAGAGAAGCAGTGAAGATTTCGAAGCTTGTATCGAGATTATTTTTGCCTTGTTCGAGCGAGAGAGCTTCTGTTGTAGGGTTTTTGTTGCTACCTCGCTCTCTTCTTTCCGTGATCTAAATTTGGATCCTTGTGATTGAGGATGTTAGGTGACGGAGATATTATGGGAGATAAAGGTTTAGAACATTTGGGGAAGATGGATCCCGAAGTTTTGAAGGTCTTGGTAGGACTCATATAGGAGGCTAGTGTCTTGACGGGAGCCACTACCTCAGCACGTGTTCCAGCTCAGCAGAGTGGGACTTCCAAGAATGTGATTAGTTTTAGCTGCCTTGAGTTTAGGTAAAACTATGGAGAAGGGGGACACTTGAGCAAGACGGGTGAACGTGGACAGTCTAAAGGTCGTGGTCATAATCATGGGGACCAAAGGGATAAAAGAGGGGGCTACTAGGAAAATTTAATGGTAGCGGAGAACGAGGGAGAGACAGGGGTGCTCTTTACCATTGAGGATCACAAGTTACTGGATATGTTGAATAAGCAAAGATTAGCATGTGATGTCATTGGAGATGCATCTACCTTATCGTCATCCAAAGGAAACACTGCTAGTTATACTCACTCAATGAAAGGTGCTCGTGATACACATGCTCTTGTCTATATATCCACCACAAATTCACCAAAATGGATAGCAGATTCTGGTGCATCTCGACACGTGACAGGTGTCACTAATGAGTTTTTTTTTATATACTCATCTAGCAATTCCAAAGAGCATTCAGACCGCTGATGGTACAACACAACCTGTGGTTGGTATGGGTACAGTGAGGTGTATCAGTTCTATGACTGTACATTGTTTTGCATGGTGTCATTATACACTAACTAAAATGTGTTATTTTATTTGATATTTCAAAAGTGATCTTTTAAGAAAATGGCAGGAAACGTGGGACTGACACGTGGCATAGTAGACTCTGATACTTGGATAAAGAAGGAATCGACTTGGGCTTGACATCCATGACTGAGAATGCTAGAGTAGGAGGATCTGAGAGGAGTGTGGAGGATGTATTGTTGCTACATCACATGCGCATAAAACACTCCTCATTCAATCTATTGAATCGTTTGTATCTTTATCCTTGTATGAAAAGGCAAATAAGGAGAAACAGGTGTGTGATGCTTATGAGTTTGGCAAGCTCACTGGCAGTGTTTATATCACTTCTAGGAATAGAAGCTCTAGTGAGCTTGATTTGATACATTCTAATGTATTAAGACCTTATCCTGTTAGTTCTATGAATGATTATCGTTAATTTATTACTTTTATTGATTGATTTTTCTCGTGTTACCTGGATATACTTGATGAAGCAGAAGAGAGGTGATGGTGCTTGCTTTAAATATTTCCATAAGACAATTCAGACCCAATATGAGGCAGTTGTGAAGGTGTTAAGATCTAATAATGTGACGGAACATATCTACAAATCATTTGGGAACTACCTCACAGCTCAAGAGATACAACACCAAACAACATATTCATACACAACTGCACAGAATGTAGTAGCAGAGAGGAATAATCGACATCTTCTAGAGGTAGCTTGAAGCACGATGATGGTAATGAATATCCCACAGGACTTATGGGGCAAACAGTGTTGACAATCTCTCAATTGATTAACAAGATGCCCTCAAGAGTGCTGGAGTGGAAGTCTCATTATTAGATGTTGAAAGGAAACAATAGTGGGATCCTTCCATTGAATGTATTTGGATGTTTATGTTTTATGAAAGACAACATGTCATCTGTAGAGAAGTTGGATCTCAGAGTTGTGAAATATGTATTTGTGGGTTATTTTGCTACTTAAAAGAGTTATATCCGTTGAGGCTAATTGAAAAGAGAAACTTTGTGAGTATGAATGTGTCATTTAGAGACTTTGAATCATACTATATTTTGGAAGTGAATTCATTCTTTAGTGACTTAACTGACACTAAAGATATGAGGCAAGATAAAGTGAGTAGTGGCGGCGATGGAGTGGAGCAAGTGGGATCAATATCATATCTTGTGATGTGGGATAAATCAACTGAGGTGACAGAAATCGAGGAGATTGAACGCATATGTGGTGGGATTCAGGCTGAAGATGAGTTTAGGGTATATATATATATATATATATATAG